AAAAAGGCCCTGATACGCCGATATGGATATCGATGCGTCACTATGCAATGGACCATTCACCTTTTGACTAAAATTTAGATATCAACAAGTCTAGACAAAAATTGTATCACAGCTTGAAAGAGCATCACAAAATTAGTAATATTCCAAAGTTTCATTGCGAAATGTTGTAAAATGCGGATAATATAGCCTTGCCAAGTTTGCCATTTTCAGTCATTTTGTATTACGCGCGGGAAATACATACCTCCTTCGGAAAAAGGGTATGTTTTTCCCGTTTGCAATCTAAAATGACTGAAAATTGCAAACTCGGAATATTACTAATTTTGTGATGCTCTTTCAAGCTGTGATAAAATTTTTGTCTAGACTTGTTGATATCTAAATTTTAGTCAAAAGGTGAAAGGTCCATTGTGCTTCAAGTTCTTGTTTTAACTGTTCAGGTTAGGGAATATCTTTCAGAAAACTGTACTTTATGTACTTCATTTTAAAGACTAAGTACACCTTGAGTGTGAAGATTGTACCAGCTCAAGTACGCGGCAATAATCATTGGAGTACCATGCAGTCAAGTACGACAAATGTACGACTATAAATTTTGAATGGGCGATTCCAGGTATAGACTAACTTTTGATCAAGGCAAGAAGAACGAACTCCAACACCACAGCTAGAAAGAGCATCTTAGCATGAGTAAAACTGCAAAGATTGGTTGCTAAATGTTGTAAAATGTAGAAAATATAGCCCTGTGAAGTTCGCAAATTTTGTATATATTTGTATAACGCGCGGTAAAAATAACCACTTTCGGCTCAGAAATGGTTATTTTTCCCGCGCGTAATGCAAGTATGTACAAAATTTGCGAACTTCACAGGGCTAGTTTTTCCCCATTTTACAACAATTCGCAACCAAATTTTGCAATTTTACTCATTTTAAGATGCTCTTTCCAGCTATGGTAATGGTTTCGTTCTTCTTGTCCAGATCAAAATTTCCTCTATGGCTAGAATCATCCATTGTTGCCGAAGAATTTTTGCACATGGAAATTTTAGATTGCGAGAGGTCCCCCCTTTCCATGGGTTTCGCCTCTAGGAAATTCCGAGTATAAAGCATTCACTTACAATTCTGTGAACGATAATGCTAAGTGGTACCCAGGCAATGAGAGAGAATACTATGACGGTTCCAACAATATTATCTTTCAAGAATTCCCCAAATTTACTTGGATCGCCCAGAGTGTCGAAGAAATCTTGCAGACGCGTGATTATATCTTGAGCTGCTTTCTCACATTTTTGCTAAAATATACAAAGTAGGAATTACTATAGGTGTGGTTTATGCTAGAGTAATCCAGTTAATAATAAGGTCGGTATAATGTGGCATGACACATAAAATATAGGTTAGTATAATATGGAACAGTCCAATTAAAATAAATAAAGTTTAGTCAATAGTCTAGGTTTCCTCCTGTAGAAATACTGGATCAGTAAGACATGATCCTTACTGGACCTCTACAGGGAGAATAGTTTAGAACTGATAGAGCTATCCAGTATAAATAGAGTTAGTTTAGTTTAGGTTTCCTCCTGTAGTAACACTGGATCAATATAGGGATGACTGATTACTGGACCTCTAGGGAGAACAATTTGGAACAGATTGAGCTCTCAATTTAAATAAAGTTAGTTTTGCTTATAGGTTTCCTCCTGTAGTTATAGTAACACTGGATCAATAAGGGATGACCCTTACTGGACCTCTAGGAAGAACAGTTTAGAACTGATTGAGCTATCCAGTACAAATAAAGTTAGTTTTGGTTATGGGTTTCCTCCGGCTTCTTCTGTAGTAACACTGGATCAATAAGAGATGGCATTTACTGGACCTCTTGGGAAAACAGTTTAGAACTGATATAGCTATCCAGTATAAATAAAGTTAATTTAGTTTAGGTTTCCTCCTGTCGTAACACTGGATCAATTTGAGATGATCCTTACTGGACCTCTATAGGGAGAACAGTTTAGACCTGATAGAGCTATCCAGTATAAATAAAGTTAGTGTAGTTTAGGTTTGCTCCTGTAGTAACACTGGATCAATAAGAGATGATCCTTACTGGACTTCTAGGGAGAACAGTTTAGAACTGATAGAGCTATCCAGTATATATAAAGTTAGTTTAGTTCAGGTTTCCTCCTGTAGTAACACTGGGTCAATATGAGATGATTCTTACTGGGCCTCTAGGAAGAACAGTTTAGAACTGATAGAGCTATCCAGCATAAATAAAGTTTGTTTAGTTTAGGTTTCCTCCTGTAGTAACACTGGATCAATAAGGGATGACTCTTACTGGATCTCTAGGGAGAACATGCAGTTTAGAACTGATAGAGCTACCCAGAATAAATAAAGTTTGTTTAGTTTAGTTCACAAACTCTTACTTCGCGACAAACTCCAGCAGAACACAAGCGACCATCAGTCATGGGTATCCTCACTGACGTGGCGTTACGATGCACTTCACACGTGCCGTTCCCCTCTCTACAACACACGTAACAAGCATCCGCTTCGTTTGTGCACAGACATGGGCTAAACTCCGCCCCCACCGAGCTCTTACAGAACGGCTCGCATTGTCCCTCACTATTGCATCTCCCTCTAAAATGAAAAGTGTACATACGCTAAAATTTCATGTTTCCTCCGACAACTTTTATACAGTTTCCTACTATAGTAACACTGGATCAATAAGAGATGACTCTTACTGGACATCTAGGAAGAACAGTTTAGAACTAATAGAGCTATCCAGTACAAATGAAGTTAGTTTAGTTTAGGTTTCATCTTGTAGTAACACTTGAGTATTAAGAGATTACTCTTACTGGACCTCTAGGGAGAACAGTTTAGAACTGATAGAGCTATCCAGTATAAATAAAGTTAGTTTAGTTTAGGTTTCCTCCTGTAGTAACACTTGAGCATTAAGGAATAGCTCTTACTGGACCTCTAGGGAGAACAGTTTAGAACTGATTGAGCTATCCAGTATAAATAAAGTTAGTTTAGTTCAGGTTTCCTCCTGTGGTAACACTGGATCAATACGAGATGACTCTTACTGGACCTCTAGAGAGAACAGTTTAGAACTGATAGAGTCGTCAAGCATAAATAACGTTAGTTTACTGTAGTTTAGGTTTCCTCCTGTAGTAACACTGGATCGCTAAGAGATTACTCTTACTGGACCTCTAGGGAGAACAGTTTAGAATTGGTAGAGGTATGGTTTCATGCTATAGTAAGAGTGGAAAAAGTAAAGATAGTCCTAACTGATCCTTTATGGAGAACAGTTTAGAATTGCTAGAGCTATGGTTTCATGATAAAGATAGTCCTAACTAGTCCACTATGGAGAACAGTTTAGAAATGATAAAGGAATCCAGGTCTTCATACCTCTCAATACATTCAGTGCCTTCATCAGCATTTTCTGGATCTGGACACACATCAGAAGTTGCATTACAGAATACTGCTTTCCTGCAGAGTAGCGGCTGAGCTTGTGCACATTGTGTTGTGTTACTGGCATACTTGCAGCCTGAACAGCACTGGACATTATTGTCACTGAAAGGGAGAAAATTTGACTATATAACAACTGCCTACATAACCTATCAATCAATTATCTACCTACCTGGGTTGGGGCATCTGGGTAGATAAGTAAGTATGGTAGTTAGGTAGGCATGGTATGTGAGTAGGTAGGTAAGTAGGCATGTATGGTAGGTATGGCAAAGTAAGGTATGGCAAAGTAAGGTATGGCATAGTATGGTATGTGGATAGGAAGGTAGATAGGTATGGTATGGTATGGTACTAGGTGGAAATTGTAGTTGGATAGGTAGTTACAGTATGATAAGTTGATAGGTATGGTTATGGTATGATATGGTATGGTATGTTGATAGAAAGGTAGGTAGTAGGTATGTATGTATGGTAGCTATGGTATGGTAGGTGGGAATTGTAGGTGGATAGGTAGGTACAGTATGATAGGTTGATAGGTATGGTATGGTATAGTAAGGTATGGTATGGTATGTGGGTAGGTATGTATAGTAGGTATGGTATGTGGATAGGTAGGTAGGTATGGTATGGTATGGCATGGTATGGTGTGGTATGGTATGGTGTGGTATGGTATGGTGTGGTATGGTATGGTGTGGTATGGTGTGGTATGGTATGGTGTGGTATGGTATGGTATGGTATGGTGTGGTGTGGTATGGTATGGTGTGGTATGGTGTGGTATGGTATGGTATGGTGTGGTATGGTGTGGTATGGTATGGTGTGGTATGGTATGGTGTGATATGGTATGGTATGGTATGATATATTGTATTATGGTATATGATATGATATGGTAGGTGGGAATCGTAGATGGATGGGTAGGTATGATAGGTTGATAGGTATGGTATAGTATGATAGGTAGGTAGGCATGCTAGGTATGGTATGGTATGGTATGATATGATATATGGTAGGTGGGAATTGTAGATGGATGGGTAGGTATGATAGGTTGATAGGTATGGTATAGTATGATAGGTAGGTAGGCATGCTAGGTATGGTATGGTATGATATGATATGATATATGGTAGGTGGGAATTGTAGATGGATGGGTAGGTATAATAGGTTGATAGGTATGGTATGATAGGTAGGTAGGCATGGTAGGTATGGTATGGTATGTTGGTAGGTACGGGTCTGTCTGACTGTCTGTCGATCTGTCTATCGGTCATTCATTCTAAATTTCTGCCTGTCATACGTACACACATACCTGCATATAGCATCTCCTTTAAACTTACAATCAGATGTACAACACTCGTCCTCCTTGTTGTCTCCGGCATCACATTTCTCGTCTTTTTCCACACGGAAATTACCGCAGAACTGTTCTGTATTGGGCTCTATACGCAACAATCAATATCGTTAGCGTCACAGATAGATCCACCCAGGTCTGTTAGGGGAGGGGGAGCCTTGGTCACAGACATGGTCATAGTTTGGGGCGCCGACCACGAGTGCATGAACCTATGGACAATAAAGTTATCCAATACAAATAAAGCTTACTGGACCTCTGGAGAGAACAGTTTAGAACTGATAGAGCTATCCAGTATAAATACAGTTAGTTTAGTTTAGGTTTCCTCCTGTAGTAACACTGGATCAACAAGAGACTACACTTATACTGGACCTCAAGCGAGAACAATTTAAAACTGAATGAACTATCCAGTATAAATACAGTTCAGGTTTCCTCCTGTAGTAACTCTAGCTCAATAAGGGATGTCGCTTACTGGACCTCTGGGGAACTGATAGAGTTATCCAGTATAAATACAGTTAGTTTAGTTTAGCTTTCCTCCCGTAGTAACACTGGATCAATAAGAGAGGATCCTTACTGGACCTCAAGCGAGAACAGTTTAAAACTGATAGAGCTATCCAGTATAAATAAAGTTAGTTTAGTTTAGATTTCCTCCTGTATTAACACTGGATCAATAAAAGACGATTCTCATACTGCACCTCTAGAGAGAAAAGTTTAGAACTGATGGAGCTACTGTATGGTTTCATCCTGTAGGAAGACTCGAGAAAAAATAGGAATGGATCTTATACTGGTCCTTTTGGAGAACAGTTTAGAGATGATAGAGGAATCCAATATACAAGTTTGAGTGATATATTGAGACTCTTAAAAATCTACCGCTAAAACAAATGGAAGATTTTGATGCAAGAACCGCCTTGACTTGTTTTTTACTGCATCTTGAAAATTTCTAAAAAAAAAATAACGAAGATATACAGTGCTATACGCTGCATAAGTTATCATTTCGGAACATTCTCGTAATGAGCTATTCCATTTAAAAGCCCCCCCCCCCCAATCGAGGACAAGGGTTTCACTGTACCCATGAAGACTTCCTGTCATAAAAGAGATCCATAAATAATTGCGATATCCAGGGGGGGGGGGAATATTCCAATCATTTCACACACTATTTAAAGGCAAAGCTTACATTATTGTTGGGTTTTTGTCCAGAAACTGACGCTGGATACATGATGTATTTTCCACCGCTCTCTGGGGAGCAATCCGGGTTGTTCTGCACGTCGTGTTCACTGCCAAAATTATGACCAAGTTCTAAACCAACAAAACAGAAAATCGTAAAATATACAACTTGAAATGAAAACGTCCTCGTCTAAGAAGAATTTTATTCACCCAATATAAATCATTACATTATTTACTTTATTTAAGTATAGTAGGTGTGAGTATCTGCCTAAAATAACTGTAAGGGCTGACTGAATTAGGCAGCTAACGTCCATAGACAACATAGTGGAGATTTGCGATATTTAATTAGCCAGTGAAAATATCAAACAGAACAAATGTAGAGACACGTGACAAAAAACAGCAGCAAAAAAACAACAAAAAAACCCCAATTCAATCACCTTTTAAGGAAAATATTATTTATTAACTTTGCCGGCATAAAATTACACAGAGAGGCCGGGACACCGCAACAGCTTATTGCCAATTACTGCGGGCCCAATTGGATACAATCAAGCAAACAACAGAGTAACAGACATTCAACTGGACAGACTAACAAACCTACGAACAAACAATATTAGTTACTAAAAGCAGCAGGATATCGGATATGTAAGGCTTCGTACAAAGTTACATTTCAGGCATATAGTTTTAAATGTTCGAGGATTATCAGGATTATAATTAACTTCTAAAGATTTGTGATAGTATTCCAGTAAGGCTGATCTAAAGGAATTGAAGCAGTTCGTGTCATAATTTAGTTCATCTACGAGAGAGTTCCATATTCGACACGTTCTGACAAAAAACGACTGCTGGTAGGTATTGGTTTTACATTTGCGGACGACATATTTAGCGTTATTACTTGCTGATGATCGTGTCGTTCTTTGCATAATATGAATGTCAGGAAGAGCAGACATTTCCACCAAACCGTGTGTGATTTTGAAGAAGAGGATCAGGTCTAGGTATTCATGCCAGTAGGATACGGGAAGAAGATGCAAGGATTGTAATCTTGTTTTATAGTCTACGTCTGTCGAGAATGGCAAGTTCAAAATATATTTTGTTGCCCGCCTCTGAGTTCTTTCTAAAAATAAACTATTGACTTAATACGACTCAATAAAACTAAGTTTTGTTTAAACGCTGACAACTTTTTCTCACTTTCAGGCAGAGAATTCCATATTCTAGCTGCTTGGTATCTTATATTAAAAATTTCGAAATTAGTTGTGGTTTTTGGTAAAGAATATGTTTGCTTAGATGTAAGTCTAGTGTTGTAACTATGTAGTTTGTTTACTGGAACTACGAAATCATTGAAAACGGATGGCTTTAGGTGAGGAAGAAAAAATAAATAATGAAAATGAAACTGACCATGTGCAGTAACAATGTCTGCCTCGGTGGTGAGGAGCTGGTTGCCCCAGTTGATTGAACTGCTCAGGCCTGTGTTATGCCACATACCACGATCCTCTAAAAATAAACACATATCTTTATTCGTCCACTTGTAAACAAGGAAAACTTAAATATTTTTTATACCAGATAACTCAACCATGCAGTTATATCTTAACTGTGGTTCTATAGAGATCCGGTAAGGGTCATCCCTAATCAATGACCCAATGTTACTACACAAACTTGATTTATACTAGATAGCTTGATCAGTTTTAAACAGTCCAGAAGGGTCATCATGCACTAGCTTCCAGGTGATCTCGGAACTCAGAAAAGGCCTGGCACTAGTTGTAAAATAGAGATCCATTTCTGGTTTAAAATTACTCAATATCTCATCAACGGTATTATATCTCTATCTCAAATTTGTCCCAGGTATTCATTTCCCTGTGCAAGACAAAGACACAAAGTTTCAAACAGTTTCACAAAAGAATCAGGGCGTGACAAGTGATTAAAGGTACAAAACTAGATTTCTATTCTGTTGCTAGTCCCAGTCCTTTTGCTCACCTTCAGATCACCTGGTTATTGGTGCAGTGTTACGACAGGAGGAAATCAAAACTAGACTAACTTTATTTATACTGGATAGTTTTATCAATTCCAAACTGTCTTCCCTAGAGGTCAAGTAAGAGTCATCTTTATTGATGCAGTGTTATTACAGGAGGAAAATAAAAATTAAACTAACTTCAGTTATATCGGATAGCAGTTCTAAACTGTTCTCCCTAGAGGTCCACAAAAGGTCATCTCTAATTGGGCAAAACTAAACTCCATAGAGGTCCAGTAAGTATCATCTCTTATTAATTCAGTGTTACTACAGGAGGAAACCTAAACTAAACTAACTTTATTTATACTGGATTGCTCTATCAGTTCTAAACTGTTCTCCCTAGAGGTCCAGTAAGAATCATCTCTTATTGATCCAGTGTTACTACAGGAGCAAACCTAAACTAAACTAACTTTATTTATACTGGATTGCTCTATCAGTTCTAAACTGTTCTCCCTAGAGGTCCAGTAAGAATCATCTCTTATTGATTCAGTGTTACTACAGGAGCAAACCTAAACTAAACTAACTTTATTTATACTGGATTGCTCTATCAGTTCTAAACTGTTCTCCCTATATATATAGAGGTCCAGTACAGGTCATCTCTTCCCATCACTACAGGTGGAAAGCAAACTAACGTTAATTATACTAGATAACTCTATCGGTTCCAAACTGTCTTTCATACACCTGCCACACTCAGAATTCAGGCAGGCTGTGCTCCTTACCTTGGCTACAAATCCCCCCTCTTGAATTCTCATCAGGATGCGCGACGTATGCCAATCCAATGACGCCATCCGCGAAATCTTGGTAAGTAAACAAATGTGCCAAACAGAATTCTTGCCAATCTTGTCTACTGAATTGCTAAAACACACGAGATCAGTGTACATGTTTCTACTACCCGTACACTCCTTTATTCTACGTTACAAAGCAAGAGTCGTCAAAACTGAAACATTTTTCAACAAACCTCAAGTAAATCTTTAATCTTCCAAGCTGGTTCATAAACTGTATTGTAATCACCAGTTGAAGGTGCTTCGTGAATTTTGATCTAAGTGTAAAAATATTCAAACACAGTCATTAACAGTTCTTCACCTGACCCGACACCCAAATCCTGGCGCTGACACCAACCTTCTTGATCACAAATCCAAAACCCGTGTATGAATCTGTCGAATCGTCAGACCAATCAGTTTTCTTAAAGATCTCATCCACACGATTGATAACTCCAACCTGCAGATATTGATGTTTGATTAACAAAATGTACGATTTCCAGATATTATAAACAATTATTGGATGAGGTTTTTGTGATATCCAGAATTATCAACGTTAAGGTAAGTAATATATTTTCTTATTTATTTGCTTAATTTCGTCCCACCGAGGAGGGATATTAGATATGGATTCAAACAATGACATCAATTCAGACTTTTGGCGAGCCTCGCGGGCTGATATGAACAGGCCTTTAGTCATACCATTGAGTATAATGTTTTCTTTCTGCTTTTCTGTCCAATATGATCATAATATTTAGAATCAGCCACTAGCACCAAGCCACATTCAAGTTTGGTTTTCAGCGCACGGCGTGTGCGAGTTGACCTGCGTTCTCGCTCTTTGTGAAATAAAATATAATATGTTGTGAATTTTTTTTCTCAAACGTGGTGGTCCAGTGTAGGTAGTATTCTTCAATAAGCTGCTGTGGTTTGTGTCTGAACTACTGTACCTGAAAAAGATATCTCAAACGTGGTGGTCCAGTGTAGGTAGTATTCTACAATAAGCTGTTGTGGTTTGTGTCTGAACTACCTGAAAAAGATATC